GGTGTGTCCAGAATGCTAGTAGTGCTGGCGAGGGGAGGGGAGGGGAGAGGGGAGGGGAGGGGAGGGGGTGCAAAACAATTGATTTATCAATGAATCATCACATGGGAGGGGTGGGGGTGTTAGACATTGATCTACCAATCTTTAGTCCCGAGCAGGCTCTCAAGCCAGTCCCTTTGCTTCGCAAAGCAAACTCAAGGTAGTCCTTACCAGGCTACCTTTCGTGAATAGATATCAATCATACCTTTAAGCCGCCTAAGGTTTCACAAGGTTCCATAAGGTTCCTAGTAAAGCCCAAGTTCTGATGTTCTGGGCCTTCAAGCAGGCAAACAAAACACAGCAGTGACAAGCGAATGGCAATGCAGGTTGCTCCCAGGGTCCAAGCTGCTGGTCCAGAATTCGTGCGGCGCCCTGGTGGAGCTTTCACTCGCGGACCGTTGGCACCGCCATTGGCACCGCCATTGGCACCGCCGTTGGCACCGCCGTTGGCACCACCGTTGGCACCGTTGGCAGCACCTGAACCGCTTCACAGTGGCACAACGTGGCACAGGCGATCCCAGAAGCTTTGTGAACAAAGCCGCCGCAATGGTAGCAGGCTGTAACAGGTAGTTAAAACATGTTTAAAGCAAGGCATTTCGGTGAGTTTGATGGGAACATGTAGAAAACAAGCTTGCGAACAGCCCTGCCTGACCCTCCTTCCGTGTTCTCAAGCGAAGCCTGCAATCAACCAAGCGAGCCGTCACGTGCCCAATAAGATCAATAAGTACATATGCAACATGGTCTGGCAATTGCAGTTGATGCAAGCGGATCAATGAAACGAAACAAAGAACACATTCATGTATCCTCGCCTCTCGTCCTGCCTGGGAAGGTGTCTGGGCAGCTGGTGGACTCCGGCTGGGCATAGGTGGTGCAAAAGGATAGGACCCATTCGTAGGCACCATGTTGGCAGACCTAAGTCCCAAGGCTGCTCCTTCAAGGAAGGATCCCGCAGCCCAATTAACAAATCCTCCCAACTGTATAGAGCCCATGCAGGTTTCGGGGAAGCACACTTACAATGTATAGATGCACCCCGCATTTGCTGCCTTTACACAACAAGGAATCAAATGTGCCAGCAAACAAAGTAGATCTGTCAGTGAACTTGAATGCACAGTATATATGTGTGTGCCTGGTGAATTCCAAGAAGTTAGCAAGTATTTCACAAGTGCATGTGTCCACACAACATCTCTAGTTTCTATATTGTAAGTTTCTGTCATTGGTTTAAAAGCGTAACTTTTGAGATAAGAAAGGCTTTCACGGCACTTGCACTATCCTTTCACAACTCCCGAAGCGTCTTCTCCACACTACATTGTACCAATATGCTATTGTTCAATCTGTTTCAATAAGGACTATTTATGACTTGTATGGGCGTGAGCGTCCAGGTGCTGTTTCTGCAGTTGAGTGTTTCTCCATGTTTCTGCATGTGGCTGCGGCTTGTTCTACAAACATATTCTTCCAGATATACACCAACGAGCACCGGACACCAACAAACATGTCGTCTTGCAAGTAGTGATCAAAATTGATTGTTATAACACCAGAATCACTCATCTAAAGTGTTCCCTATTCAAGACAATTACAATCCACAATGACTCAATGAAACATGTCTTTTCCTGTATGCTGATGATTACTGTATTTTCTGTATGCTGTAGACTGGGTGGATCCAAAGGGCTTTTGGCCTAGTTTGCCACACTGATATTGGGAGGAAACTAAAGTGGTTCATTTTTGTATGCTAGACATCGTGTGTTCTAGAACTGTTCTTGTATGGATGCTGCTGGAGGTGTTTCTTTTTCGTTTGTTTGCCAGGATGATTATTATCTGTATGCTGGACGGTTATCAATTACTTATATAAATTGGCACCTTCTGGTATGCTATGAGCATTCTACTGTATGTCTGGGTGGCTATTGTTCATTATTATGCACAGTTGTGCTGTGGAGTTGCAACAGTGATCTTCCTGGAAAGGGGGAGAGATGGGTGCAGCACCTAGGCCCAATGTGGTTGTTCTTTTTACACTGAGTGCTGCAGGGTTGTGCAGGGAGTTGAAGCTCAAAAATGCTGAAGGTATCATGAGGATGAAAAACAACTTAGGACGCTGAACCAAGCGCATAAGACCTGAAGGCTTCATGGCTCGAGTAAAACTCAGATGGAAATGGATTGTGGTGTTGATTCAAGCGATGCTTGAATGGCTTGAATGAACAACGGTTAAGGAGGGCATTATCGGGACGGCTCATAAACTGCTTGACGGTAAATTTGAAGACGGTAGGCCTCTCTTAAAGCTTTGGCAAATCTGGATTGAACAAACTCAAGAGCTCGGCTGCGCAGGCCGCTGCGGAGGCTGCTTCACAACAACTCCTTTCGGAGCCTTGCAACAGGGAGTTTGAGAAGCTGATTCGAGCACATGATAGCACATGAGAAGTCTCAAACACAATCCACCAGGTCTTTCGATTGATCCATCTCAGCTTTGGGCAACTCCTGCGCTCGGACTAGACCTGGGCTCAAGAGGTCAAAACCATCACAACCTACAAGAACTGAAGAAGTCTTGGATCACTGCATTGGGAAGGCTCGACCACTCTGTGTCACCTAAAACTCTGAAGGACCCGTAAGGACTCAAGCAAATCCACAAACACGGCATGACATGGCCCTAAATAAGAACAGCATTGGTCTGAGACACCACGAATTCAAAGCTGTGCTAAGGCTTTAGCTTCTTTGACATCTTTGGCAGAACCTTGCATGGAATGGAAGGAACTTTCTATTGTGGGGAGTTGCTGGAAGGAACCTTCAGGCAATGGTCTAGGGCAGCACTAAAATGACTTCAATTGGTCACAGGAAAGGACAATGTTTTAATTAGATGAAAAGCAACCTTTCCATCCTGCGCATCGTTCGGCAGCTGTCGAGATCATCCGGACCTCATTGCAATCGACAGCAAAAATCAAAAGACTCCTGCCTTCTGTCTCTCACGTACTGTAACGTAGCCTGTGGTCTTTCCAACGACAAACATGGTAGGCGTTATTAGTCACTAGTAAACTATTGATGTTGATTGGTCAAAACTGTTTGGGAGTGCTTTGCCTTCGCAACATTTCTTGCCTGTGCTTCCACCGCGTCGGTCAACCTATGGAGTGTTAATTGTTGTTGACCTTTCTTCTGAAATTGCTCCAGCTCCATTGTCGGACATGGACATGGCAATTAGCAGAACGCGACCACTGCTTTTCAGATCGGTGGAAGACTTCACCATCTCTGTCTGAAATCTGAAGGTGGTTGAAGTCTTGCTCTGGTTCCGCTGAGCTTATCGTTCTATGCAACCATCTCAAAACATTTGTCGGAGCATGAAACAAACTTTTTCTAAGCTGCCTTACCGGTTGTAATCGATTACAGTGATATTACATGTATTCACTTCAGCACAGGTTTTAAATAGTGGCTAGATAGGTGATGTACACAATAGTCCAAGCGGCCAAGCGCTCCGCTTGTTCCCTTTCAGCTGCTGCTGCGACCCTTTCTGCAGCTGCGGCTGCACGGTCAGCTAGCAAGATCTCCCTTCGCAAAGGAATTAGATGCGTTTCAGACTCAGCTTTCAGGTCTGGTTCTGACATGCATGATGCATGCATATATGTCAATGTACACGTATAACTGATACATACAAGAATATATAGCTCTCTGCGCGGTTCTATCCGGGCCTTTCAGATGCAAGCTTTGCCTGGATTCTACCTGCAAAAGCCATTATGGCCATTGCAATCTCAAGATTCTGAGATGGCAATGCTTCTTGCATCAGAAATGCATCACTGAGAATAAAACAAACAGCCAGCCGGAGGTCTTCGGAGATGCGCAAGACATCTTGCCACTCCCTGGCATGGTGCGACTTACCGACTCCCGGATGTTCTGTAAACGGAGCCCGCCTGCTGTCAGTGTCGGCAAGCACAGCTGCCATCTCCTGAAGTCAGTCAAGACCCGGAAGTAATTTGTTTCAACAATTCTGGTGTTCTGCTGCAGTTCTGCAAAACAAGTGCATCGCTTCTAGTAACAAGTGCCTTACTAGTAGTAACAAGAAGCTATTAGAAACAAGTGCCTTACTACTAGCAACAATAAGAAGCAAATTCTTGAATTCCCCAAATCCGATCAATTGAGATGTCCAAAGCTGGAATCTAAAAGCTTCTGCAAATGAAAGGGTAATGCAGCGAGGCCGGCACGTTAAACGCACGGCATCCGCTACACGTTCTGGTTGAAAGCCAAAATGCCACCAAGCTCCCACTAGAATGCTTCATGCCGCACCAACAAGATCAACAAGAATGCTTTGGTCAAGCAATCCATAGTACTCAAAATCAGTTATAATAAGGAACAAAGAAACACGGGCGCACCACTCTCTCCGCTGCTTACAGGCATCAATGAGACCTTTCACGATGGCACAGTCATGGCCTGCCAAACAAGTTGGCGGGAGTGCAGGTGTCACAAATATTCGTCGGGGATCCCACAATAGAAATGGCCTCCAACCTAGTAGCAAAAGGACCTAATAGCGATGGCCTCCACCCTAGTACCAACCTAATATTCATCGGGGATCCCACAATGCACCTTCACAATCCAACGCCAGCACGCCCACAGTGCCAACCTACCAGTTAACAATTGGACTTGAAATGGGCGCCACTTTCAACGGAAGGTGCTCGCTGTCCTGATGTTGGCGAAAAAGCCACTCCACTGTCTTTGTTTTCATTGACCTGGCGAGCATTCAATTGTTTTCGCAACGTCACACTCATTGGCGGCTTCAATAATTATATATATTAGAAAGGTTCGCACAAAAATATCTCACGCGGGCAACTAAAACATGGTCCTGAATCCTGCTTGAATTACTTGGAGGTTCTTTGGGAAGTTCCAAGAGCTTCTGACTCTGCAGCTTTTCAACCAACCGCAGACAGCAGCATGCCAAGCAAAACCGCTCGTGCTCCTTTCTAAGCCGTTAAGCTTTTCGAGTGCTTAGGCTGTTGACAACCACTCCATCACGGCCAAAAAAGGAGCGCTACTCAAATAGGTCAATAGATCAGCATTCCAAGCTGCTTTTTCACCTGGAACGGCCAACAACCAAAGAACATCAAAGAACATCATCATCTACAGAAATCAGAACAAACACGAACTCACTGAACAATGGCTAATCTCACCTAGGCTTGGGAGAGCTTGTAGTCAAGATCCACAGCGACCTTGGTCAACATGCTGTACATTCAATTCCTTCGTCTTCGTGTGTTGCAGGAGCCAGGGCTTCAGTCTTTCCCGTGGTCAAAATATGTTTTCTATTCTATCCAAACACATCCCTAGTGATGACCGAGCAGCATGCTTATCGTCGATGTTCTAGGCAACTCTTATGCTTACACGGCTCAAGTAAAATGCTGCTTAGAGACGGCGCTTCTCATGACAGCAGCGAAGACATCTGAACGAGAGATCTCACCAGCCGGCTTCCTGACAAACGAAAAGAAGAACAACGAGATCTGACTGGTTTGGTATGTTTGCTGCTAGCAGGACTTGGAACAAACAGGTTTTGCCAGTCCCTTCTGGCCTGTTCAAAGGATCCGTGGTTCCAGTTGGGAAGAAGCTGAAGTTGAAGCGTTTCTTGGTAGGCCTGGAGTTCAGCCAATGTTTTGGAAAAATACTTTCGAATACTTTTGAAGTTTTACTGCTTCTTTTCCACGGTTTCAAACGCGTTCACACACTAGGGCAATCTAGGGCAGCAGCTCGATCTCGTAAATATCCTTGTCGCCGTAATACTTGCGAAAATAGCCACGATCCTACATGTCAGGGTTGGACATGTGCATGGTGCCTGTGGGTGACAATCCAAAGCGCATGCAAGATCCAACCCCGTTGTATGTTCCTAACCTATAGCCCAGGGAAACTAGTAGTTAAGGACAATGTTTTCAACTGCTGGGAGACCTTGTGCAGGGTCTCTCCTAGTGTTCCTTGGGAGTGGCAACATGGATTTTGGTAGTGCCTTTGATTGTTCAAGTTCATCAGAGGTTGAACCAGTTGAGGAGACTCAATCCATAAGAATGTAGTAGTAATATATATATATATATGTTAAATGGTTAAGCTCGACCACCTGTGCTCTGGATATGTCAAGTGCTCCAGTTGTTCTTCAGACAGTTGCGATGTGGCAATATGTTTGATGTCGCGACCTTGAAAAGCTGTGGTGTTGGTTCGATCTGATCATCAGGTTGCTTGCTTTCAGAAATTTCAACCATTAAAGTGCTCCTTACATCATAATCTCCAAACATGTTACTGTTACATAAGTGGAAAAACATAATCACGCATGAATCCTAGAAACGCTCGTCACATCAGCACTCAAACATGCTCAAACTAGTGCCGGAAGCACCCCGTAAAAGACGAAGGGTTCTTTCGCAACGTCGCAGGCATCCAAGCCTGTCATGTCACAGCATTTCCCAACAGGCACAGCAAAAACCAATCCATGGCAGGGACACCCCACTGTGACCGGATTCGATCATCCACCAGCTTCCATGTCCATTTCTGGCCATATGTTGCCTCAACCAGTTGGCGTCAAACTTACTTGTACTGCGTGAAAATATCAAAGTTAATGCTAACTTGCACAACTTGCCTGACCAAAGACGCCACGCCAGGAGTTCATCTGCCCCTCCCAATATACTGCTGTCGTCTGCAGGCCGTGCTCCATTGATGCGGCCTAGGGTTTCTGCCATGTCAACACTGTTTTGTTGTGGGGGGAGGGAGGAGGAGGAGGAGGAGGAAAGCCGGAGTCAGAGGTGGCGTGCTTAAGCATGGCTAGACTAGGGGACGCACTTCCTGCTCAGGCTTCAAGGGCAGCGGGGGGTAAGTCTTGAAGCCCTCACATGATTCATGTGGTCCCTAGATTTTGGTTGGGGGGAAACTTACGTATGGAACATGGGTCACACTTGAGTTGAGGGTCGAAAAAAGGTAGCAAGGTAGCAAGTGGGCCTTGGTACTGTGGGAGGCTTGGAGAATGCCGTCGAAAAAGAACACAGAACATGAGACTTGGGAAAGCCGCTTGGACGAGGATGAGGAGCGAGAATGTGAAGGGATCTTGATGGGCTGGGCAATGGTGGAACATGGATGCGGATCGATGAGAATTAGGCAAATGAACTGATCCAAACAAAGGGGGAATTGCATGCCACGGACACTGAGAAGCATGAGCTTAACACAACAAATCAAACATCAAGTTGTTGATCTCCTGGTAGCCTAGGTGATCTTTCATGATCAAAGGGTTTATAGTCAAAACTACCTGCTTACGCAAATATAAATAACATACACTGGGGTGCCAAAAGTTGCGCTTCTTGACTTCTAAAACATCACAAACCCTTTCCCCTTAGAATCCTACGTGCAACATGTCGATACCTCAGTTGCGGTCAGATTTCCACACCTGAAAGCCTTATAAATGTTATAATTTTAAACGGGTGTGAAAATCTGACCGTGCTGTACCTGCCACGGAAAATGGACGTGTTAATCCGATCCGCTGTAGACCGCAAGTGTCATGTTGGAACAGAGTAAGAAGCGTAAACTTTAGGGTTCTTGAAGGGTGCTGTTTGTGTTTTTAAGAAGGTGCTGGAAATAACATAAGTTCCATAATTTTGAGATCAACTC